CCCCCAAAACCCCAAAACCCCAAAACCCCTTTGCTCTTTTAAGATATTGAAATGAAATTACTCGACTGTAACAAAAATATCCTTGTACTTGGATATAATTATTCTGAGCACATCAGAATTCTGTAAGTACTCAATATGTGCTCTGCGCCCAATGATAGTGTTAAAAGATTTTTTTGAAAACTTTAGATTCACACAAGTTTTGTAAACATCTACTTGAGATAATGAGGCGTTTATCATCTCACACATTTCTGAGATGGTTTCTTTTTGCTTAACTTGATCAAGTCTGGGGGAGTACTGAACCAAACTACTCTCCAAAGGAGAGTAGTTGTCCTGGTACGAGCCACAGAAAAGAGCATACTTGAACCATTTAAGAGTATCCATCTCTGCTAAAATGTAAAGAACAGACTCTCTGATATCCTTCTGGTCGTTATACAGCAATTCCTTGATCATCGGCTGGGAACCTATCTTGCTCATTGCCCATATTCCCATTGAAAAGAGGGTGCTTTCAGAGTATATACAGCCCAAATGGGGAGTTGCAAGTGTTATGAAAGCGTGAAAGTCCTTCCAGTACTTTTCTAAATGAATTAGTGAAGCTCTAAGAATTAGTCCTCCTAGTGAAAACCCGAGGAATGAGATTTTATAGTTCTCCTTTCTTCTAAGCTTAACCTTAACTATTCCTGCGCTGCTATTTCTCCCATTTCTAGAATTCCTTTATTTTTCTCATGTTCGATAGACTCAATACAGTGGATAGATGTGAGGGGTGACTTAATACGGATAGCACTGAGGATTTTATCAAGATCTTCTGGATCACTCATATATCCATGCATCATAAATATAATATGCTTCTCTTTGTTTTCAAGTTCGGAGTCATAGCTTGAGTCTAGGGAATCCTCATGTATGGCTTCCTTTGTAGTCTCTTCTTCGTACCCTTTGCTTTCTTCTTTGATAAATTCATTGCTATTACTTCGAAGAGAGAGATTCTCAAAGGTACAAGAATCTTCCCTGACTCCTGGGGTAGGGACCTCATCATCCACTTCAGGTTGAAAGGGAGTCAACCTATCGAATGTCTGCTCGAATAGGATTGGCTGGTGAGAGCTTTGGTACTCATTTGATTGATAGACAAGCCCCAGGGGTATATCACACTTTATGTACTCTTCCACCTGCTTTCTTCTTTGGTCAGCTTGGATACATTGCTGGGCAAACCAATCATCTTCCTCAATTTTGTTGATTGAATTATCAAGAGCTTGGATGAATTTGTACTCTAAAGATGATTAGTCTGCTTACCATTGAGTTCATCAAGCTTCTCTAGATATGTCTTAAGAAGAACCTTCTTCACAGATTCTGGCTTGGACTCCAGAAGTGCACAGTATTCATTCCATAATCCCTCCAGTTCACTGCAATTATTTGACAAATCTTGCAATAGTGCGGAAATGTAGGAGTAAAGGGTTATTTTGGTGTTCTTGGTGGCCCCGTCCTTTAGGAACATTGTCTTTCATTTATTTTCAAGCTTATCCTCAGTTCTTCTGTTCGGATTTTCCTCGAAATCATCAAGTAAATGCATTGTCTGACTTGGCTGTCTAGCTATTAGCTGTAATTGACTTCGATTCTCAGGTTCTAGTTTGTTCTGCATCTTGTGAAAGGGAATTATACTTGGGAATTTTCTGATCCCTTTGAAGGGAAGTTCTGACTCAAGTTGATCGTCTATGTCTCAGCTATATTCCTCCGCTATATCAAAGATATGTCTATCTATTGATGAAGAGCTCCTCAGCTCTTCGTAGAATCACACAGTTGGATCTTTGATAGAGCTTATCCTTTTGAGATCAATTGCCATTTCTTTTGGATCAAGAGATTCAAGGACCCTCGTTGACAAATCATTTAGGATACAGTTGAAATATTCAGTGTGAGATTTAAAGAAATTGTTTAGATAATCATGAGCTTTTCTACCCTCTTCCTTCTCAATAGATGTACTTGAATCTAGTTGCTCATCAAAAAGAAAAGCTCTTACTAGCTCTTGAGGGTTTTCACTCTTGATTTCTTCGACTTCAATTTCTGCTGGTGAGAAAGAAATAAGGTCTTCTTCACAATACTTATCAGAGGAAGATCCCTTTATTCATGCGCTCCCATCTTGAGCATTTAGCTTGGCAGCATAGCAGATATCTGGAAAGAATTCAGCCTTAGTAATTACAGAATGGAAAGAAGATGCCAGAAGACAACTATGGATTCCTTCAAACTGGATTGGTGAATACTTAAAAATCCCATTTATTGTGTTACCTAATCTGAATATTTTGGTAGATACTTTCTGAAGGATCCCATCAGGATGTAGACTGTCGAGACTATCATTTAACTGAACTGGCTCTACGAAAAGAGTGGCTTTCATCATTAGCGGTACATTTAGGTCGAATATATCTTCTACTAGATCTCTACCTGGGATATCAAAGTCAATGTTGTAAGTAACTATCTGATTTATTGGGACTTCATCTTCTTGGTATCATATCTTGAACTTATCAGAAGTATATTCATAGATATTGTCATCAGCAGAGCTTTCTCAAGAAAGTTCTGGGCCAATTCTGCGTGTAGGGGAGAAGAACTGCCTTCATCCCTTAGACTTGGTGATTCTTGCATAAAATTTATATTCCTTTGTTTGGATAAACAGTTTAATTCTATATTATTTATCTCATTCTATTAGGTGAAGAGCTTACTTTACAACGTAATAGCCTTGATTACAAAGCCTGATATTCTTGAAGCTATTCAGGACCATTGCAATACTTGCTGTCAGTCTCATTGACATTTTTAGACAGATTTCTGATATAAAATAAATATTATTCTAAAATTCATTATTCCTGTTGATTAAAGGGGTTTTGGGGTTTTGGGGTTTTGGGGTTTTGGGG